AAAAAAAAAAATTTAAATGACAGGTCATCTTCCAGTCTCCTGAGCACTCTCTGAGGCTCCAAAATACCCTAAGGAATTCCATTTTTCAGGATCATTGTCACGACATCATCAAAACCACCACCCCAATGTCATTATCAGGGCAGCGGGATTTAGAGTATTCACCGTATTCCAAGCTCTATGAGCACTATCTCATTTATTCTTCACAATAATCACATCGGATAGGACTATTATTCTCATCCTACAGATGAGAAAATTAACTGAGTTTCAGACAATAAAGTAACTCACCCAAAGTTCTATAGCTAAGAAGTGACAGCAATCCACAGGTTAAGCAAATTAATACTGTAATTATTTTGCTTTTTTAAAGACAGCATACCTTTTCACAGAAAGGAAAAGGATGCCCACAACATTCCAGCCAGATCAAACCATCTTCATATCACTCACCTGCCTTATCGCTTTCTTGCCTTTGGGTCCTGCACATGTTGTTTCCTCCACGTGCATCCTTTTCATCTAGCCAAATCGTACTTATCCTTAGGAGATCTCATCTTAGATCTTCCCACAATCCTATTAGGGATCCATCCTATAAGCTGATGTAGAAATCTGTATGTCACCTATCAAAGCACTTAACATAGCAGACCACAAAAGTCTGTTAACTTTTCCTCTTTTCCCACTACAATGAAACTCCTTGCTGAGGTTCGATCCCTATTCAGGGAACCAGATCCCACCTAAAAGACCCGCAACCAAGTAAATGGATATTTTTAAAAACTGCTTTTAAAAAGAGAATATTAAAAGTAAACACTAAATGGCTTCACTGTCATTTAACTGAAAATAAAGTAATTCACAAACATTTTTCCCATATACTATGTAAAACAATACTTAAAAACCAAACGTCAGGGAATGACCACTAATGGGTTTGGGACTTCTTTTGGAGAGGATGAAAATGTTCTAAAATTGATCATGGTGATGAATGTACCAAAAAAAAAACTTAACTGTACACTTTAATGGGTGAATTCTATGGTATGTGGATTATCCCTCAATAAATCCATTATATTTAAAAAAGATCTGTGGGTAGTTAAGACTTAAATTATAAAAACAAATATTAAGGGAGGGGGGATTGGGATGGGGAATACATGTAAATCCATGGCTAATTCATTTCAATGTATAACAAAAACTACTGTAATGATGTAAAGTAATTAGCCTCCAACTAATAAAAATTTAAAAAATTTAAAAAAAAAAAAAAAACAAATATTAAGCCTGTGGAAAAAAAATACCTAGAGGATAAAATACTTGTTACTTTTATGCAATTTTAAAATAGCTTAATGCCATATTATTGCACAAAATTTCACTGGTTAGGAAAAACAAGAAACTGAAAACAGTGTCTGCCTTCAGGAACAACTGAATGGAGAAGAGACTTATTTTTTCCCTGTGTATTTTTATAACTTCTGATTTGATACATGTGTTTAAAAAAAATAAGTGTATATATGATCAATAACAATAACATCATACCTCTCCTTGAAGTGAAGTGAAGGTTGCTCGGTTGTGTCTGACTCTCTGTGACCCCCATGGACTATACAGTTCATGGAACTCTCCAGGCCAGAATACTGGAGTGGGTAGCCTTGCCCTTCTCCAGGGGATCTTCCCAACCCAGGGATAGAACTCAGGTCTCCCCCATTGCAGACAGATTCTTTACCAGGTGAGCCACAAGGGAAGCCCTCTCCTTAGTACAAGTATAAACTCCCAGGATGCATATTTTGTTCTGAAAAGAATAAAGTATGAAATATATATATTTTTAAATATATATGATTTTTTTAAAATATAAAATATACATTTTATATTATTTATCATATATAAATCATAAAATATATGATTTATATATAATTTAAATATATATATTTACACATATATTTATTTTAAATCAATCCAAGGAAGTAAAAAACTGATTCTTCCATTTGCTTCCATCTCACACTAAAAAGCATTTAGTCATCTCTCTGTTATTAGACATCAGTCAGAATTCTTTCCTGCCCAACAGTCTGACACATCTTTAAACAATGACACAGTTGATCATTCCCTCCTCCTTGAAAACTTCCTTTCCTTCATTTCCAGTACACCATACTCTCCTGGTTTTCCTTCTACCTCAATGGCCTCTTATTAATTTTCTTATTAATCTCCTTTGCTGAGCTCCTCTTCATTTCCCCAGAAGGTAAGCTCTATGAAGGTTAGAATTTTTATCAGTGTTGTTCACTACTATATTCCCAATGGCTAAAAAATGTACGCAGAACCATACTCAAAAAATAACTGTTGAATGAATAAATGAATAAGCCAGCACCCCAAAGGCTCACATTTTGAAAAAGCAAGTTATAGAAATAAACTGTATTACACATACATTTATGCTTAATTTACTTTATTACATTGTATGTCTGAAAATCCATAATCAATACACTGCTTGTAATTAGCCAAAATATTTCATTCCCTTATCTTTCTCCATTTTTGTCACAGTATGTGCAAAACACATGAAATATCTCTTATACTGCTTCTAAAAGCATAAATGTAGCATAGAAAAAGAGCAGTTGTTGCTTTAAGAATCTTCGCTTTTCATTTCAGTATTAAAGTTGACCTAACGGACTGACACACTTATCTGACTTCAGTAATTTTAAAAAAAAAAGGGGGGGGGGGAAATACCACAGTAGACTCAACAAAGATATCACAGTAATGACTAGTAAATGACATTTCTTAAAATTAAAACATAGTGGTTTTCTCAGACATAAGAAATCCTAAAGAGAAATAGATCACCCTACACTTTTCCCAAATTATATGACTGCATTCCAATAAGGAGAACCACCTCCCACTGTCAGACATGGAAATGTCATTTTAGCAAAATACACACATAATTTCACCTGGTATCTCAGTTCACATCTGTCCCCATATATATTCAATTAAGTCAAAATATAAGACAAAAGCCAAAACCAGGTATGTGAATGTTAATCTTTCCAAGTGACTAATCCAGTATCAAAATCATTATTATATCAACTTGTAATCTGACTTGTCTGAATAGTTAATTAAATCTTTTGTTTATAATTACAAGTGGACCACACCTATTTTCACTTAATAGCTATTATATCATCTGTTTCCTATAAGTTTCTTCAAGCAGAAGTATTTGCTGGAAGATAACAGTCTGCTCATTAAGTAGACATATTAAAAAAGGCAACCACTGACACTCACCCTGTATATTTCTCTCTTGGGTTACAGGAAAGCACTTCTCTGGCTACGTTCCCAAATAAATTGAATAAGCTTTGGGAAAGTCACTGCTTAAATTCCATTTCATGACGGTTTCTCTTCCTCCATAAATCAATTAGAGAGAGTCATACCTACTTCCATCCATTACATAATACATGTCCATCTCAAGGCCTGTTCTCCCAGCAAGAAATCGCTTAAATGATACTAACTGACAGGTAAGGACAGGGAGTTCTGTAATCTGATGGGGAGCAGAAATCCAGAAAAGGAGATTCTGATTTAATGTGCTAAGTTGTGAAACACTGCTGTGAAGAACCTTAGTCTTAGTAACCTCTCCCTATGCAGTGACAGACACATGCTCCCAAAAACATTTTAGGAGCACCTGACTTTAAGAATGTTTCTCAAAAATGGAGGGACCTACCAAAAAATTTTATTCCACTTCATTTTAAGTGTCTAATAAAGACATGCAATTAAGAAACTTCAGAAATCTCCAGTAATTATCAAACACAGGCTAGCTAACTGTCAAGATCTACTAAAAACTGAGTTGCAAAAGACAGTAGTGCTTTAAAACATTTAAGTATGTTTCACGTAATTAGAGCCAACAGGAATGTGCAAATCGTTCATTTCATCCATCCAAAGCAGTCAACCACAACCACCTGCAACTACTCCTCAGAAACGTGACTTCCAAAGGAACCACCTGATCCTCGGGCCTTCTCTTAAGGGGCCAGGATAAAACTTGAAGATGAGGTACACAGATCGTTTAGGCACCAAAATAAATAAATAAAAGACTGGAATATAACGCCTTTCAGGAATTAAGTGTAAAGGGACCTATCACCTAATGTTGCTGCCAGAATGAAGTTGTCTAACCCAAGATCTCTGCTCCTCTTCAAGGGTGTAAAACTCCTAACCCGTCCACGCTCCACAATTTCCCCACCCTGAGCCAAAAGCTGAGGGAGTCGCTTCCCTCCTCGACCCCCACCCCGCCTAAAGGGAGAAAAAAAAAAAGACCCCAAGCCCTAAGTAGAAACGTGAGACCTAGTGCAATAGCTTCTCCAACTGCCTAAAAGGCAACATCCACAGCTCATCTCCTTTCTGGAAGCCAACCCTCCATCTCCTATCTTACTACTTCACAGGAGAGACCAGAATTCTCGTCTCTTTCAACGCTGCACATCGGTACCCAAACCCCAGACCCACCCGACCGCACCCCAGCCTCCCGGGGCTCCCCGAGGCGTGCACGTCCCCACCTCGCCCGCAACATCATGCCTCTGAAGCCGGCCGCCCGCAGCCCCCGCGGGTCCCCGCCGTCGCCGCCCCTCCAGCCGGTCCAGGGGCACCCGCCGGTGGGCTGGGTGGGGCCGCCCTCTCGGACGTCCCATCCCCCCCGGCAGGGCGCGGAGGGGGAGGGGTCCCCGCGCCTCACCTACGGCTCCGCCCTCCCCGGGGGCGCGCTGCCCAGACCCAGCCAGGGCCGTGGGGAGGAGCGAGGTGGGCTGGGGGTTGGCGGCTGCGGGCGCACACGCGTACACACTCCCTGCGCGGGGCGCTCGGCGTCTGTCTCCTCCCGCTTGCCGTAGGAGGCGGCGCGGCACCGACAGTGGGCAACCACCACCGCCTCGGCGGACCGGTGCCGCGGAGCCGGGGCCCAGGTCTCCCGGGGCAGGTGGGTGTCCCGCCCCGAGGCCCTCGGACTATCCGCACCGCCCGGGAGACCCTGCCGGCGGCCTGTCCGCGGTTCACCTCGGCGGCCTTCCCTGTCCTCGCGAGTGGCAGGCGGCCCCGCGTCGGGCACCCCAGATTGTGGTGCCGAAGCGCTGGCAGGTTTCCTAGTCTGAGGCGCGCACCGTTACTGTGAGGCAGTAGGTAAGCTGTCGCCGCCCGAAGAGTGATGATGTGGGTTGTTTGCAGCCCCTGCCAGCGAGTGTTTTATCAGTAACTAAACACCCTGAGAGCAGTTGAGTCACAGCAGCGTGAGTTCTTTCGTGGTCCCACCGCCACCTTCGCGCCCCTCCTCGGGGTCCTCGCTCGTCACCGCGTCCCCCTCCGCCCAGCGTCGCCGCCTTCGGGTTCCCCCGGCCCGGGTCCTGCTACACAGTCGCCCCCTTCTGTACGGTCAGGACCGCGGCTGGGGGACGGCGCGGTCCTGCCAAACGAAGCGTCCTAAAGCATTTGATTTTGTCAGACTCTTCACCCAGGAAAAGCCTGTCCCCCTGTGACCATTTCTCACGGTCCTGCTCACCTGACTACGGATCCGCTCGTCTTGTAAGCTCCCTAGCAGTGTGAGGAGGCGGAAGGAAAGCAAAGTGGACTTGATGCTATCTACCTGGTTTCCCCTCGCCCATCCTCTACTTGTGTGACCTTGGGAAGATCACAGTACTTCTGGGTCTTGCTTTTCTTAACTGTAAAGTGGGGTGTGGACGAGATGTCTCAGGTTTATCTTCAAACCCTGAAGTGTGGGTTTGAAGAGTGGAAGATGCTAAGTTAAGCATTGTTCTGCCTACACAGGAATACTGTCCACATCACAGGCTTAGAAAATTTTTTTGCTTTCTCTTTTTTGTCATTCCATTGTTCTTGTTTCTTATTGCCTACTCTGCCCTACATATCTTTTTTTTTTTTTAATCTACATTTAAGGTTTGTTTTTTTTTGTTTGTTTTTTTGTTTTTTTGGCCACCTCACACAGCATTCAGAATCTTAGTTCCCTGACCAGGGATGGAACCTATTCCCCCTGCACTGGAAACTTGGAGTCTTAACCACCGGACCACCAGGAAAGTCCCAGGGTTTGTTTTTGTGTGTGTTTTTTTTTAATTAAAGCTGGCTGAGTAAGTTCTCTAATTGCCTCCTCTTCCTAAAACCCTGTTAAAATGCTCATAAAGAAATGAAAAATGATACAAACCAGTACAGGACAGAAAATGGGAAGGGAGCCACCAAAACTTTTTTTTTTTAATTTTACACTGAGAGAGTGTGGTCTGATTAAACAAAATGGAAGAAACCATTGTTTTGGAATAGGTGTAGGGAATTGGTACTGCAGTTGAGGAAGGAGGCCTAGCAGCTAGAAGTGATTTAAAGAAACTGAAATTTGGAGACATCAGCACAACAGACCAAGAGGGAGAAGCAGGGATGAAAACAAGGAAACTAAATAAAGGTTTCTATGTAGAACAACAGTACCCCAGCCCTCCCCACCCCATACCTCAGATACAATAGCTAGGCATTTATCCCGAGCTAAAAGTCAAGTTCTTATAATCTCTGGGGAGCATTTAATGACTAGGAGTAAAGCATTCTTTATTCTGGCACAATAGCCAGCTTCCTACCCACTCACCCTAGAGTGAAGTTGGCAAGACCCTCCCAGGTTCTAAAGATTCGTCATCAGCGTCCAGCTATTTCATCTTAAATATGAACAGATAACCAAGGGCTTTTAGGTGTTTAAGGGAAGTCTCCAACTTGGGGCTGACAGAGGAGAAATTGTGACCATAGAGGAAAAAGAAACTTCAGAGAACTTAAAAAAATATAGTATGCTCCCAAGCTTATTACAGCTATGAAACAAGGATAATATATAAGTTCACACACCAGGAACAAAAAGTAAATCTTAAATTAGAAATAAGAAATTGCCAAAATTGTAAATTCACTTTTATTGAAAGGTAAAGTCCATGAAGTTTTAAGGAAAATAGAAGAAATATGCAAAGAGATGGAAATTGCAAGAGAAAATATTTTATTTTTTTTTAATTAAAGCTGGCTGAGTAAGTTCTCTAATTGCCTCCTCTTCCTAAAACCCTGTTAAAATGCTCATAAAGAAATGAAAAATGATACAAACCAGTACAGGACAGAAAATGGGAAGGGAGCCACCAAAACTTTTTTTTTTTAATTTTACACTGAGAGAGTGTGGTCTGATTAAACAAAATGGAAGAAACCATTGTTTTGGAATAGGTGTAGGGAATTGGTACTGCAGTTGAGGAAGGAGGCCTAGCAGCTAGAAGTGATTTAAAGAAACTGAAATTTGGAGACATCAGCACAACAGACCAAGAGGGAGAAGCAGGGATGAAAACAAGGAAACTAAATAAAGGTTTCTATGTAGAACAACAGTACCCCAGCCCTCCCCACCCCATACCTCAGATACAATAGCTAGGCATTTATCCCGAGCTAAAAGTCAAGTTCTTATAATCTCTGGGGAGCATTTAATGACTAGGAGTAAAGCATTCTTTATTCTGGCACAATAGCCAGCTTCCTACCCACTCACCCTAGAGTGAAGTTGGCAAGACCCTCCCAGGTTCTAAAGATTCGTCATCAGCGTCCAGCTATTTCATCTTAAATATGAACAGATAACCAAGGGCTTTTAGGTGTTTAAGGGAAGTCTCCAACTTGGGGCTGACAGAGGAGAAATTGTGACCATAGAGGAAAAAGAAACTTCAGAGAACTTAAAAAAATATAGTATGCTCCCAAGCTTATTACAGCTATGAAACAAGGATAATATATAAGTTCACACACCAGGAACAAAAATCTTAAATTAGAAATAAGAAATTGCCAAAATTGTAAATTCACTTTTATTGAAAGGTAAAGTCCATGAAGTTTTAAGGAAAATAGAAGAAATATGCAAAGAGATGGAAATTGCAAGAGAAAATATTTTTAAAAAGTCAATCCAACAGGACTAATATTACAAGAGAAAGAGAAAACAGTAAGTAAAAGATGGAAAAGTATCCCAAAAATAATGGAAGAAACTTTCCCAGAGCTAAAAAAAGTCCACTGGTGGAGAGCAAAAACAGAAAACAACCTTGTGAAATGTTAAAACGCTGAAGATACAAGAAGGTCCTGAATTTCCCAGGAAAAAAGTGACCCATAAAAGAGTAAGACTGTGATTAGAATTCTTACCAGCAACAATAGATATGAGAAGATAACAAAGACCTTCAAGTTTCTGAGGGAAATACTTCTTGAGCTTGAAATTCTAGGAATTTTTTTAATTAAAAAAACAACAACAACTATTCCTAGCTGAACTATCGTTAAAAGATCAGAATGAGAACATTCTCAGATATGCAGAGATTGAAAACGTCAAGCGCCCACATAGGCTTTTTTTTTCAAAGTTACTTAACAATGAGGTAGAAATGAGGTATCTGACAACACTACTGACCAGGAATCAGTGGATCTAATTCAGAAGTAAAGGGATGTCCCAAGAGCCAGGCTAGGGCTTCCCTGGTGGTCCAGTGGTTGAGAATCTGCCTTCCAACGCAGGGGGCATGAGTGTGATATCTAGTCAGAGCTGTGTCCAACAAGCCACAGGGCAGCTGAGCCCTTGTGCCGTAACTGCTGAGCCTGCGCCTTCTACAGCTGGTGCTCTGCGGCAAGGGAAGCCCTCTTGTGCTGCAGTGAAGACCCAGTGCAGCCAAAATTAATAAATAAATAGCTAGGCTGGATTGGGGTGGAAGAATAGGCATTCTGGGAGAGAAATCTGAAAAAGAGTTGAACTGAATAATTACTCGATAGAAAGTTTAGTGCAGGTTTCTAATCTTGCTGTAGTTAAAGCATACTGATGTTGACAATGTAAAGGTAAAAAATATGACTGGCACTTGAAGATGTGAAACAGAGAAAAGGTAGAGGTAAAGGTAAAAGCACTCCAGAGATGTCTGTAGTTGGCAGAATCAGAAACAGTTGCTAAAATGTAGTGTAAGAAGTAGGAAAAGTGGCCAGTGACAGAGCGAGGAATTATTTGGCTTATTGAGAGGATGGGAAGACACAAAGTATAGGGTTTATAATTAAGCTAAATTGTGATCAAGAAATAGAAGACTTGACATTGTTACAATAAGCAGTACTCCTTTATTTATTCTACAGGTTCTATGCAATCCTATCAAAAATCCCAGTTGCTTTTTTCCCCCAGAAATTGACAAGCAGAGTCTAAAATTCACATGGCAGTGCAAGGGACTCAGAAAAGCCAAAAGAATCATGAAGTAAAAAGTTGAAACATTCATTCTTCCTGATTTCAAAGCTGACTACAGAGCTACAATAATCAAGGTAATATGTGGTACTGGAATAATAATAGAAGTATATATTGTGGAAAAGAATTGAGAGTTCAAAAATAACCCACACATCTATGGGCATTTGATTCACTGGGAACCCTTCTCAACAAAGGGTGCTGGGACAATTGTATAACCACATGCAAAAAAAATGAAATTGGACCCCTACCTCACAACACAAAAACTAATTCACAGTGGATCACAGGCCTAAATATAAATGCTGAAACTAAAGTAATTTTAGATAAAAGCAGGTGTAAATCCTTATGACCTTGGATTAGGCAATAGTTTCTTAACTATGAAACCAAAACTGTGACAAAATTTTAAAACTGGACTCCCATCAAAATGGAATATTCAAAACTTTTGTATGTTCAGCTTTGAAAAGGAAGGCTATTCGGACACATGCTACAATATGGTGAACTTTGGAGACATTATGCCAAATGAAATAACCCAATCACAAAAGGACTGTACGTGGGATGTACATGAGGTACTGGTAATAGTAAGAGTCATAGAGACAGAAAGCATAAGAGTGGTTGCCATAGGTTGAGGAAAGGCAGATGGCCATTTGCAAACCAAGCAAACCTGCCAACACCTTGATCTTGGATATCCAGCCTCCAGAAATGTGTAAAATGCTTTACTGTTACTTAAGCTGCCCAGTCTGTGATGTTACGTCAGCCCTACCAGGCTAATAACAGATTTTGGGACTGAGAAGTGGGGTACCACTATAACAAATACCTTAAAAATGTGGAAGGGGCTTTGCTAGTGGGTAATGAATAGAGGCTTTCCAGGTGGCACTAGTGATAAAGAACCCGCCTGCCATCACAGGAGTTGCAGAAGACTCAGGCTCGATCCCTGGGTAGGAAAGATCCCCTGGAGGAGGCCATGGCAACCCACTCCAGTATTCTTCCCTTGAGAATCCCAAAGAGTTGGACATGACTGAAGCAACTTAACACAACACAGCACACAATGAGTAGAAGCTGAAAGGTTTTTGAGATGCGTTTTCGGAAAAGCCTAGATTACCTTGAAGAGACACTCTTGGTAGAATTAATGCAAGTTAAAAGGTGACTGTGATGAGATCTCAGGAATGAGGAGCATGCTATTGGAAACCAGAGGAAAGGTGACTCTATTTATAAAGTGGCAGAGAAGGCCAAACTGTTTCCTAGTGGTTCTGTGGAAGGTAGAAATTAAAAGTAATAAACTTTGATACTTAGCTGCAGGAATTTCCGAGCAGTGTTTGTGGTGCAGCCAAATTTCTTCTTACTCCTTAGAGTATACAGGAGGTGAGAGAGAAATTAAAGGAGTTGTAAAGCAAAAATGAACCAGAAGTTGAAGATTTGGAAAATTCTTAGCTTATCTGCAATACTGTAACTTGCAAGAAAAATATATTGGTGAACATTTTGTAATATGTTTAAATGTCAAATCACTATGTTGTACACCTGAAACTAACATAATATACATCAACTATACTTCAGTTTTAAAAAAAGAAATACACATTTGGTCATTCAGACAACTAAAATATATCTCTCATATATATTTGGTCTTCATCCAAGGTTCTTGACTCAGCTCCCAAAACCCTTGGAATTTCCGGAGGGACAAGAGCAACAGGAACTTTTCTTGTAGTGTTTAGTCCTTGCTCCTCTGTTCCTGAAATCACTTTCAGAGCCATAAAGGTGAAATGGGTATCCTGTTATTTAAGTGTTTATGTTAATGAGGTGACTTTTGGAAAGCCCTAAGGATGGAGATTGTTAGCAAAGGACCCAACCAGGGAATACAGTGTTGGAACTTCAGCCCCACCCCCTTACCTCCACAGAGGGGAGAGAAACTAGAAGCTGAATCAGTTGCCAATGACCAATGATTTGATCAATCATATCTAAGTAATGAAGCCTCCACAGCCCTCCGCAAGGACAGGGTTCAGAGAGCTGCCTGTTGGCGACTGCCTGGAGAAGTGGGGAGAGGCAAGCAGGAGGGGGCTCGTTATCTCTGCGCCCTCTCCCCACGCCTTGCCATGTGCGTCTCTTCCATCTGGCTGTTCTTTTTATAATAAACCAGTCATCCAGTATGTAAAAATTTTTCTCTGAGTTCTGTGAGCCACTCTGGCAAATTAATCAAACGCAAGAAGGCAGTTGTGAGAATCTCTGACTAATAACCCAGTCAGTCAGAAGTATAGGTCACAGCCTGGAGTTACAGTTGGCATCCTGAGTTGGGAGAGATTGTTGGAACCTATAGTTTGTGGCCAGTGGGTCAGAAGCACAGGTAACAACCTAGCTTGCACCTGGCATCCTGAGATGGGGGAGAGGGGTGTATAGCAGTCTGTGACCTGCACAGCCTGATGCTGTCTCTGTGTAGATAGTGTCAAAATTGAGTCGAGATGTAGGACACCCAGCTGGTACCCAGAGACTTGCTCCTTGTTGGTGTGGGGAACCACCCCACTCCTCACATGTTGGAATTACGCACAGAACTCAGTTACTATCCATATTACACAAAAAGAAAATGTCCTGGGAAACATGTCAAGGGTGTAGCTGGACAACCATTTGATAAAGATATCATGGGTCCAATTTATGGATTTCATCAGTTATCTCATAAGTAGGAATAGAACTAAGATTATACTGGCAGAAACACCACCAATTTGGACTAAGGGCATAGAGACAAGAAAATGGAGGAATGCTGTCAGACTTCTGAGATTCTTAGGATAGGACACTAGAGCTATCTGGCTGCCAGTTACATTACCCATCAAGAAAACAGAAAAATGACAACAAACGGGATTCAGGGATCAACAGCTGCTACTCCAGCCACCAGCCCACAGAATACACGTCTGGGGGGCAAGGCTGTCTCCTTGGTTTCAGTGGAGCCTGCTACCAACCAGTACCTCAGGAATAAAACTGCTGCCCAGGGCTGAGCGGATGGAGCCACTACTCAGGACCAAGAGGATAAGGTTGCCACCCCAGTGGGCCCAGAGGGCAGAGCATTAAGCCCAAAAGAGTTCTTCTTGAGCCTTAAAAGAGGCTCAGTTTGGGGTATGCTTTGGACCCATTCCCTTTTCTGATTTCTCTCTTGCAGAATGGAATATCTCTGTATGCCTGTCTCAACATTGTATTTTGGAAGCACATAGCTTGTATCACAGGTTCACAGCTAGGGAGGAATTTTGCCTTAGAATGAATCATATCTCAAGTCTCAACCGTACCCAAGGATCAGATGAGACTTTGTGCTTGGAGTCAATGCTGGAATGGGTTAAGACTTGGGATTGGGGTGAATGTGTTTTGCATGTGAGAAGGACAAGAATTTGGGGTATCCAGAGGACAGAGTGTTTTGGACTGAACTGCATTCTCTGAAAATTTATGTGTGGAAGCCCTAACCCACATGTGTCTGTATTTGGCGACAGGGTTGTTAAAGAGCCAATTGAGGTTAAATGAGGTCATATACAGTCTGTGGTATTTAGTTATGTCAGCCCTAGTAGACTGATTCAGACAGCACCAGGAAAAAACAGACAACTCACAGAATGAGAAAAAAAATTTTGCAAACCATATATCTAATATTTTATCTAGAACATTTAGATAATTCTTAAAACTCAACAATAAAATATAACTCATTAAAAAATAGGTATAGGATTTGAATAGATATTTCTCTAAAGAAGTTATATAAATAGCCAGTAAGTACGTATAAAAATGCTCAACATCATCAGTTATTAGGGAAATGCAGTGGAAACCACTTCATACCCATTCAGTTCAGTTCAGTTGCTCAGTCGTCTCCGACTTTTTGCGACCCCGTGAATTGCAGCACACCAGGCCTCCCTGTCCATCACCAACTCCCGGAGTTTACTCAAACTCATGTCCATCGAGAATGGGACCAGATGCCATGATCTTAGTTTTCTGAATGTTGAGCTTTAAGCCAACTTTTTCACTCTCCTCTTTCACTTTCATCAAGAGGCTTTTTACTTCTTCTTCACTTTCTGCCAGAAGGGTGGTGTCACACCCATTAGGATGGCCATAATCAAAAAGGTGTGTAACTGTCAGTGAGAAATCAGAACCCTCATAGACACCTGGTGGAAATGTAAAATGGTGCAGTCACTTTGTGAAACAGTCTGACCCTTATCTTCTAGGGACTTCCCAGACAGTCCAGTGGTTAAGACTGACCTTCTACTGCAGGGAGCACCGGTTTGATCCCTGCTCCAGGAACTAAGATCTCACATGCCACATGGTGTGGCAAAAAAACAAAACAAAAACAAAAACCAGCAATTCTACACCTAGCCGTATAGATAAGAGAATTTAAAATATCCACACAAAACCACAATATTTTGTATATGAATGCTATAGCATCATTATTCACAGTCACTGAGCAGTGGAAACTAAATCATGAATAAATTACCAAAATGCATAATTTTTAATTTCTGGCCTGCAAGAAAGTAAAGGAATTGTTCTCAAAGACTCAGTAGCTTATAAAAGAAAGCAAATATTTATTTCTGACTTAGCTGGAATTTGACAGCTGGAGGGAGGGGCAGTCAGCTGCTGTGCTGTGCTATGTCAGATCCACCTGCCTCCCATTCAGGGAGCCAGGCTAAAGGAGTAATAGTCACCTGCATTTCAAGCGCACAGGAGGTAAGCCGAGGAAACTCACTGTAGCCTCTGCTCAGCTGTGTCATATGTCCTGTGTGCTCACACGTCATTAGCCAGAGTAAGTCACTCAGCAAGGTCCAGCATAGTGGTGTAGGAAAGTATATGCCTTTCCCCTTCAGAAAACTGCCTAAAAAATTGTGCACGCCACTTCTGTTTATATCCCATGGTAAGAGCTTAGCTCATGGTCATTCCTTGCTGAAGGGCAAATTGGAAAAACAGATTTTGTTGTGGATGGGCATGTATCCAGTTAAAATTAAGAAGTTATATTACTGAAATAATATAGAGACTACTCTCTAACAACAATAATACAGATTGTGAGACAACTATCAATCTGCCAGAAACTTCTAAAACAATTGTTTAGTTGCTCACTCATGTCCAACTCTTTGTCACC